CAACAGAGTTTTGCTCTGTTACCCAGGCTGGAGTGCAGTGGCGTGATCTCGGTTCACTGCAAGCTCTGCCTCCCGGGTTAAAGGGATTCTCCTGCCTCAACCTCCCGAGTAGCTGGGGTTACAGGTGTATGCCACTATTCCCAGCTAATTTTTTATATTTTTGGTAGAGATGGGGTTTTATCATGTTGGCCAGGCTGGTCTCGAACTCCTGACCTCAAGTGATCCTCCCACTTCAGCCCCCAAAGTGCTGGGATTACAGCCGTGAGCTACCACGCCCAGCCATAACACTGTTTTTTTAAGTTGAAGTATTGAAATTATAGGAAACAGAACTGGAAGATTATTCCTTTTGATGACACTGTTTATTGTCTTGTTGAAGACTGATCTCTGTACAGATGACAAGGAAAGAAACAATTTTTGTGGGTGATAATGGTAGTAGTAATACTAATTATAAGTACTTAACTCTGTACCAGGCACCACTTTGAGTACTTTACATGAATTAACCCTTAAATCATCACTGTAATCCTATGAAGTACCTATGATTAGTATCCCCATTTTATAGATGAAGAAATTTAGACTAAGAGAGTTTAAGTAACTTGTTCAAGGTCACATAGCAAATACCATATTTTATCAGATCTAAGACACCGTTGATTATAAGAAGCACCTCAATTTCAGAAATGTTAAAATGTAAAAATGGCTGATAAAAGTTGTGATGTACTTTCAATAAGATGAATCTTGATTTCAGAGAGTTTTTTAATTTTTTCGAGACAGGGTTTCACTGTGTCCCCTAGGCTGGAGTGCAGTGGCACTGCCACCTCTATCGTCCAGGCTTAAGCGATCCTTCCACCTCAGCTTCACAAGTATCTGGGATTACATGCTTGTGCCACCATGCCCAGCTAATTTTTTTTTTTTTTTCCTGTGGAGAAAGGCTCTCGCCATGTTGCTCAGGCTGGTCTGGAACTCTTGAGCTCAAGCAATCCTGTTGCCTCAGCCTCCCAGAATGCTAGGATTACTCCTGGCCTACTTTAGGGACTTTTTATTTTTCTTTAAAAAAAATTAAAGAATTTTTTTTTTAGAGATGGGGTCTTGCTCTGCTGCTCAGCCTGGAGTACAGTGGTGTAGTCATAGTTCATTGCAACCTCTACCTCCTGGGTTCAATGATCCTGCTCCCTCAGCCTTCCCTGAGTAACTAGGACTATGGGTACAAGCCACGATGCCCAGCCCAGAGTTTAAAATATGAAAAAATATTTATCTTAGAATGGCTGAAATACAATTACAGAGCCAGCATTCAAATTTAGGCTGTATGATTGTGATTCCAGGGCGTATGCTCTTCTCAAAAGAGTTGTTTTAGGAAAAAGTCTTTTTTTCAGACTTGTTTTTTCTCTGTGAGTGCCACTGAAAAGCTGTGATCATGATTCCACCATTCTGTTGCAGCTGCAGACAAGATTAAATGAATCCTTAAAAATTTGTTGGCCGAACTCTGTGGCTCATGCCTGTAATCCCAGCACTTTGGGAAGCCAAGGCAGGTGGATCACAAGATCAGGAGTTCGAGGCCAGCCTGGCCAAGATGGTGAAATCCCATCTCTACTAAAAATACAAAAATTAGCTGAGTGTGGTGCCGGGTCCCTGTAATCCCAGCTACTCAAGAGGCTGAAGCAGGAGAATCGCTTGAACCTGGGAGGCGGAGGTTGCAGTGAGCCGAGATTGCGCCACTCTAGCCTGAATGACAGAGCAAGACTCTGTCTCAAAACAAACAAACAAAAAAAAAAAAACTTGATAAGAAGTGGTATGGTGGCCCACACCTATATTCTTAGCACTTTGTGAGATTGAGGTACAAGGATCCCTCGAGCCTAGGAGTTCAGGGCTACAGTGAGCTATGATGGTGCCACTGCACTTCGGCCTGGGTGACAGAACGAGACCCTGTCTCCAAAAATAAAATTTAAAAAACCCAAACTTGTCAGAAGAAAATAACACAAACCACCTCAGTCCTTTAAGAAAGTAGATTTTGCTAACTTAATTTTTCTTTCTTTGCAGTGTTTCACTCGAGGGTTTGAGTACAAGAAACATCAAAGCGATCATACTTATGAAATAATGGTAATGATGAAGTTTCTGGGAATTTCTGTTCACTTTTTTCAAGAATTAGACTAGGAAGTAGTTTTTCTTTTCTATTTTTCTCTTTCTTTAAGCTCTCTTGGATTTCTGGGAATTAGTTTTCTTAATCTCTGAATGTCTTTACCTTTTCTCCCCTTCGGAAATAGGTAATTATTATCCAATAAGTCTTTTAGGGTTTTGTGGACCTATCAAGGTATTTAAGCACAAAAATAGTTTTATATACTCAGATTTTTGTTTGAAATTTGGAAAGTATTCAAAGGAAATACTTTTGATATGAGGATAACAGGTGCTTTTTAAAGATGCTGCTTTTAAAGCTTATTGACAAATATAGCCAATGTGTTGTCACTGTGTGCTCATGGTATTTTTATGTGGTTCATGTGGACAGTGGTGTTTTTGTCAAGCAGTTCATTTGCTTGCCTTGGGGAAAATTAGTTACCTTCTGACAGTCAGGTTATAAAGTGAACACAGCAAATGAGTTAATATATAAAATCGCCGAAGAGGAAGACTGGTTTATAACCTGAATAAGACTTGACTATAGATTAATTGTATTGCCACCTTTAAAGAAGGATAAGAATGTTCATAGTGTCCTTCCAAGCCCTGGCCATGGGAGTGGGTAGTTTAATAAGCCAAAGTGAATATCCAGTCTGCTTGACGGGTATATATACCTTTGTCAAGATAGTTCTGTCAGCCAGGCACGGTAGCTCACGCCTGTAATCCCAGCACTTCAGAGGCCAAGTTGGGCGGATCACTTGAGGTCAGGAGTTCAAGACCAGCCTGGCCAATATATGGTGAAACCCCATCTCTACTAAAAATACAAAAATTAGCCAGGTGTGGTGATGTGCGCCTATAATCTCAGCTACTTGGGTGTCTGAGGCAGGAGAATCGCTTGAACCTGGGAGGCAGATGTTGCAGTGAGCCAAGATCGCAATACTACACTCCGGCCTGGGTGACAGAGTGAGACTTTGTCTCAAAAAAAAAGACAAAAGAAAGATAGTTTTGTCAGAGTTTTGTCAGTTATCAGAGCATATTAAGCATATAACTAAATCTCCTCCCTCAAGCAGTTTTCTGACATTTGGCCCCCATGTAGTTTTTCTTACAGGAAAGGATGCTGGCAGGCTCGACAGTTAAAATTTCACATAGTAGATTAATCTATATTAGTTTTCTATTGGTGCTATAACAAATTACCAAAACTTAGATATCTTAAGATGACACAAATTTGTCTCACAGGTTCTGTGGATCAGAAGATCATTAGGCTCAACAGGTTTGCTCCAGGTTCCATAAGGCTGAAATGAAGATGTTGGCCAGCCTGGCCTCTCACCTGGAGGCCCTGGGGTAGAATCCACCTCTAGGTTCTTTCAGGTTGTTGGCAGAATTCACTGCCTTAAGGTTTTAGGAAGGATGCCACTGTTTTGATCAGGGCATGTTCTCCGTTTCCACAGGCTGTCTGCATTCCCTGGCTCTGGGCCCCCTTTCTCCATTCTCAAAGCCAGGAGCACAGGAAGTCCTTGAGGTTGTTGACGAAATCCAGGGAATCTCTATGACCTCTCTCACTGCCTTATTTTTCCTGTGCTGAATCTTTATGAGTGATTCTTCTGCTTTCCTCTTCTGCTTTGAGACAGGGTCTCACTCTATCACCCAGGCTAAAGAGGAATGGCACAATCACAGCTCACTGTAGCCTCGACCTCCCAGGCTCAAGCTATCCTCCTACCTCAGCCACCTGACTAACTGAAACTATAGGCACAAGCCACCATGCCTGGCTAATTAAAAAAAAAATTTTGTAGGCCGGGCGTGGTGGCTCACGCCTGTAATCCCAGCACTTTGGGAGGCCAACGCAGGCAGATCACAAAGTCAGGAGATCGAGACCATCCTGGCTAACACAGTGAAACCCCGTCTCTACTAAAAACACAAAAAATTAGCCGGGTGTGGTGGCAGGCGCCTGTATTCCCAGCTACTCAGGAGGTTGAGGCAGGAGAATGGCATGAACCCGGGAGGTGGAGGTTGCATTGAGCCGAGATTGCGCCACTGCACTCCAGCCTGGGCGACAGGGAGACTCCATCTCAAAAAAAAAAAAAGATTTTCGTAGACAGGTCTTTCTGTGTTATCCAGGCTGTCTCGAACTCCTGGGCTCAAGGGATCCTCCCACCTCAATCCTCAACCTCCTAAAGTGCTGGGATTACAGGTGTGAGTCACCACAGCAGGCACCTCAGCTACGTGTAAGGACTCATTTGGATTACATTGGGCCCATCTGGGTAATCCAGGATAATCTTTTCTTCAAGATCAGCTGATTAGTAACCTTTATTCCATCTGTAAAGTCCTTTCCCAGCAGTACCTCGTTAGTGTTTGATGGAATAATCAGAAAACAGGAATCTTAGGATGAGGGGAACATCTTTATTTTTATTTTATTTATTTATTAAAAAAGAATAGAGACAGGGTTTCTCCATGTTGCCCAGGCTGGTCTCGAACTCCTGGGTTCAAATGATCCTCCCACCTTGGCCTCCCAAAGTGCTGGAATTGTAGACATGAGCCACCATGCCCAGCCAGAGAACATCTTTAGAATTGGGCCTCCTACAGCACTGTGGTATATTTACTTCAGTCTCTTAAAAGTTTAGAAAGGGTGACTCAGCATCTCTGAGCCTGACTACTGGTGGAGTCCTATTAAAATGAGTTTCTGGGCTTATAATATTCAGGGTCAGATTCTAGGCCACAATGAATTAATCAGAGAACTAGTTAGAGTTCTTGGGAGCCAACTAGCTGGCCTTCCTCTTTCCATCTCTAAACAATTTCAGTCTTTTAACTAATGGCTTCAGTAATTGTAAGACTTGAAATAAATTTTTTTCCCCCTTTAATTGCAAAAATGAAGGGTTAGGAGACTGTTCAAAGTAGCTGTGGATTTGAGTTAATTTCACCAAGGTTATCAGGTCTTCAGAAAACTGGTTTGTTTTTCCCAAATTAATGTGAGAATACCTGGAGCCAGAATACAAATTTATTCATTCATGTTGTGAAATAATTCCTTAAGGGATAATTCAGTATGGCTTGGGTAGGTTGGTAGTCATGCTTATTCACTTTAGGAAAGCTGACCATGAGCTTTCTTTAGCTATTCTGGGCATCATGTCTTCTTCATAATGCTGAAAGCACTGACTAAGTTTCACTCCACATCCACTTAATTCTGATTACATCATCCTTTTCTCACATATTCAACACCCATACAATCACATTTCAGAGTACTGTCCTTTACTTTGGGGAGCTTTTGGGGGTTACTAATACTTCCTTTTTGTGGCCCACCTTATTTATGCCCAGTGAATCTTTCCTTCTATAGGCATGATGACCAAATTTTAGCTTTCTACACAAAACTTGATTTTTTTGCATATGAAGCCTCAGATAACTTTAAATGGTTTTCAGTACTTTTGTCATGTCACAGTGCTGTATTTTTGGGAGTTACTCATGCTGTGGTAGGTGGTGCGTTAACCAGGATTTCTGAATTCTATGCCTATTTTTGTCTTGTAATTCTTAGAACTTTGAACAAGTCAAGGCAGCTCTTTCTGCCACACCCTTTTATACCAGTGATTCTTAAACTTCAGTACATAAGAATTGCCTGGGAGTTTCTTATAAATGTAGATTCCTAAACTCTTCTATGAGAGATTGTGGTTCAGAAGCGCTGAGGTTTGGTCCCCGAGTTGAATAATATTAATTAAACTTTATGTAAAACTGTCTTGTGCCTTTTTTGGTGTGTCTGTGATGGAGAAAGTTTTTATAGTTTATCTCACAGTAAAGTTGGTTGAGAAACAATATTCTAAAATACAGTTTTACAAATAACAGTCTCTTCAACTAATGTGTGCGTTGTCATATTTACTTGTCTTTTGGTACTTGCTGAATTGAGAGTGATTATGAATTTAGTGTATAGACTCTGAAATTTCTCTCTTGGATTTCATAATACCTCATGTGCTAGACATATTCGTAGTGCGTGCTCAGATGAAAATGTGTTGCTTATTGGTAGTGTAATTTCACAAATCATGACACTTTTTTTGTCATTAAAAAAAGTTATAATAAGTTCTAAGTGCCTGTGTAATCTGAAGATGTCTTGTGTCATTATTTTTTTTACTTGTTATTATAGAAAAGTTCAGATATACACAAGAGAGAATGATGTTTGGTTATCTATTGCCAGCTACCACAAAACCTCATGCTTAAAAAAGACCATTTTATTATCTCCCACTGTTTTGTGGTTCAGGCATTCAGATTAGGCACAGTGAGGGTGGCTCTTGGCTCCACATGATGTACTTAGGCTGAAAGTCCCAAGAGGGCTATGAATTTAGTATAGACATAGACTCCAAAATTTCTCTCTTGGATCTCATAATACCTCATGTGCTAGGCATATTCACAGTACATGCTCAGATAAAAATGTCGTCATCATTGTAATCAACATAGTGGTAATCAATTTCCGTTTATTTACCCATCACTAGCGCTTAAAATTATCGACTCATGGCCAATCTTACTTTATCTAAACCATCAACTTTCCCTGTCGCCCAGGCTGGAGTGCAATGGGTTGATCTCGGCTCACTGCAACCTGCGCCACCTGGATCCAAGCAATTCTCCCACCTCAGCCTCCCGAGTAGCTGGGATTACAGGCACACACTACCATGCCCGGCTAATTTTTTTATTTTTGTGGAGATGGGGTTTCGCCATGTTGGCCAGGCTGGTCTTGAACTCCTGACCTCAGGTGATCTGCCCACTTCGGCCTTCCAAAGTGCTGGGATTACAAGCGTGAGCCACCGCACCTGGCCTAAACCATCACCTTTCTAGATTATTTTGAAGCAAATACCCTAGGCAGTATATTATTTCATCTTTAAGTGTTTCATTAGGTCTCTATGTAATTCTAGTCACTTTTCACATTCCGCCAGTCATTTCATGAAGGCTTAATATCTAAAACCCCTGCTGCCTTTTTTACCCCTGAAACAATCACTGTTCTAATTTTTTTTTTTTAAATCAGCATAGATTGGTTTTGCATATTCTAAAACTGCATATATATGGAATCATACTGTATGTACACTTGTGTTGTTTCTGGTTTCTTTCACTCAGCTTTTTTTTTTTTTTTTTTTTTTTTGAGACAGTCTCGCTCTGTTGCCCAGGCTGGAGTGCAGTGGCGCGATTCAGCTCACTGCAACCTCCGCCTCCCAGGTTCAAGCAATCCTCCTGCCTCAGCCTCCCAAGTAGCTGGGATTACAGGCGCCCACCACCACACCCAGCTAATTTTGTATTTTTAGTAGAGACGGAGTTTCACCATGTTGACCACGTTGGTCTTGAACCCCTGACCTCAGGTGATCCATCTGCCTCGGCCTCCCAAAGTGCTGGGATTACAGGCGTGAGCCACCGTACCCGGCCTCACTCAGCTTGTTTTTGAGTTTTATTCATGTTGTGTATGTTACTAGTACATTTGCTACTAATCATTTCTTTTAATTACTGAGTAATATTCTGTTGTATGAACACAATACAGTTTTTTATCCGTTCTCCCTTTGATGGACACCTGGGCCTTGCCCAGGTTTGAGCTATTGTGAATAAAGCTGCAATGAATATTCCTGTATAAAGCTTTCTATGTACATATGTTTTCACTGTTTTTTGGATAAATACCTAGGAGTGAAATTGCTGGGTCATAGAGTAAATGATTGTTTAACTTTTAAAGAAATGATTGGCAAGTTTTCCAAAGCGTTTGTATCATTTTACACCTCTGTTGACCATATACGAGAGTTCTGATTGCTTCATGTGCTTGCCAACGTTTGGCATTGTCAGTTTCATTGATTTTAGCTATTTTAGTCAGTGTAGTGTGGTATTACAATTTTTTTTTTTTTTTTTTTTTTTTACTTTTTGCAGTTTGTTTAATTCAGATACAAATAAGATTCACACATTTCGATTTTCCAACTGGTTGCCTCTTACGTGTTTTCTATTCTGTATGGGATTTCCTTCCCTTTCTCTCATTTCTTTTTTTTTTTTTTTGGTCTTGTTTTAGAATAATTATGTTTTAAATTTTATCTTCTTAAATATATAGAGAAATAGAGATGGAGTTTTGCCATGTTGTCCAGGGTGGTCTCAAACTCCTGGACTCAAGGGATCCTCCCACCTTGGTCTCCCAAAGTGCTAGGATTACTGGCTGGCCACTGAGCCCAGCCAGTTTTGGATTTACTGAAGTTGCAAATGTAGTACAGAGAGTTCCCGTATATCCTTCATCCTGCTTCCCCAAATGTTAACATCTTACATTATAGTACATTTGTCAAAATTGAGAAATGAACATTGGCTGGGTGTGGTGGCTCTTTCCTGTAATTCCAGCACTTTGAGAGGTTGTGGTAGGAGAATTGTTTGAGTCCAGGAGTTTGAGACCAGCCTGGGCAATCTGGAAAGACCCCATTGCTACAGAAAAATTTAAAAATTAGGTGAGTGTGGTTGCACGTGCTTGTATTCTTAGCTACTTGGATGGTGGAGGCAGGAGGATTGCTTGAGTTCAGGAGTTTGAGGCTACAGTGAGCCATGATCACACCAGTGCACTCTAGCCTGGTCAACACAGCAAGATCTTGTCTCAAATAAAAAAAAGGGCTGAGCTTGGTGCCTCACACCTGTAATCCCAGCATTCTGGGAAGCCGAGTTGGGCGGATTACTTGAGGTCAGGAGTTCAAGACCAGCCTGGCCAACATGGTAAAACCCTGTCTCTACTAAAAATACAAAAAATTAGCCAGATATGGTGGCACATGCCTGTAATCCCAGATGCTCAGGAGGCTGAGGCAGGAGAATCGCTTGAACCCAGGAGGTGGAGGTTGCAGTGAGCTGAGATCATGCCACTGCACTGCAGCCCGGGCTATGGAGCGAGACTTGGTCTCAAAAAAAAAAAAAAGAAAAAGAAATAAACATTACTACAATACTAGTAACTATAGATTTTATTCAGATTTCTCCAGATTTTCCACAAATGTCCTTTTCTGTTGCAGGATCCAATTGGAGATCCCACATTGCATTTAGTCACAATGTTTTCTCCAATCTGTGACAGTTTCTTAGATTTTCCTGTTCATGACCTTGACAGGTCGAAGTGTATTTTGTACAGTGTCTCTCAATTTTGTCTTCATAGGTTTGATATTTTATCATGATTAGATTTGGATTATAGGTGTTTAGGTAGAAGATCACAGAGAGGTGAATTGCCTTCTCATTTTATCATATCAGACGATACATAATTTAACACTGGTGATGTTGAAAAATGAGCAGCCAGCCATAAGAGATGCATGAGGCAGGGTGTATGTGGGAACGGGCACGGAGCTTTCCTGTCCTCTCTGGGTACACCGTCCTCCACCTCCATGTGTTCAGCAGCCTGGAAGCTCCTTGCTCTCATTTCTTATTATTTATTTGATTTTTAAAAACCGGATTGTTTGTCTTACAGATGTTAGTCTGGATTTTGTTGACTAATGTGTTCCTCTGTCTTCTGCGTTTCCTATACACTAGTAGTTACATTTAATGACTACTTCAGATTCATTTAGGACCACTGTCTGGATCTGGTAATTCACCAAGGATTGCAAAACATTAATCTTTTAATTCTATCACTCATTTTAATTTATGAGTTAGAAATTTATTATTATTACATGGTCCCTCTGAGTAACGTTTGTACAGGAAAGAGAAATGATGATTACTTCCCTTTATTTACTAGTTTTGAGAATATGCATTGGTTCCCTAGCATCCTCCACATATTTAAAATATTTGATGTTTCAGTTATTTGTGGTTATTATCCTTATTGATGCTCAAAATATTCCATTTTTAGCTAACAGGAGTCTCTGGAAGTTGACTTCTGAATTTTTTTACATGACCTTTATAGTCTTTAAGAGCTTCTTTGCTGCCAGATGCGGTGGCTCATGCCTGTAATCCCAGCACTTTGGGAGGCCCAGGCGGGTGGATCATATGAGGTTGGGAGTTTGAGATCAGCCTGACCAAGATGGAGAAACTCCATCTCTACTAAAAATACAACAATAGCTGGGTGTGGTGGCGCATGCCTGTAATCCCAACTACTCATTGCTACTGGGTTGGTCATTTTTTTCTAGAGCTTTTCAGTGAACAATGTTAGGAAATTATTTTTCTTTTAAGATACAACACATGAGTTCATCATAAAGCTTTCAATTTAAATACGAGACTGCGAGAGTTTGTTTTGGTTGGTTGGTTGGTTGGTTGTTTTTGAGACGGAGTCTCTCTCTGTCCCCCAGGCTGGAGTGCAGTGGCGCCATCTTGGCTCACTACAAGCTCCGCCTCCCAGGTTCATGCCATTCTCCTGCCTCAGCCTCCCAAGCAGCTGGGACTACAGGCACCCGCCACCACGCCCAGCTAATTTTTTGTATTTTTAGTAAAGACGGGGTTTCACCATGTTGGCCAGCCTTGTCTTAAACTCCTGACCTCAAGAGATCCACCTGCCTCGGCCTCCCAAAGTGTTGGAATGGCGTGAGCCACTAAGGCCAGCCTAAAGTTTAATGTTATACTATTTATGTTTCAAAGTCAAATCTACAAGCAAGGAATATTCAGAGAAGTCTAGCTTCTATCCCTCTTCTCTCTACCCTGTTCTCTTTCTTCCTCCCCATAGTAACCTTTTTTTTTAAAGTGTGTTTATTCTTCCATTTAAAAGAATACATACATATTTGTCTTTTCTTCTTTCTTAGCTAAATGGGAGTGTACAAAAATATTTATCTGTACCTCTGTGTTAAGTTTGAAAATATATGTATATCTGCATGAATTGCTTGGCATTTATAGGTGATATGGAGGCCCTTCTAGCTAATGGTGGAAATGGGTGGGAGAGGTGGACAACTAATAAGAATGTACCCTAGGTATCTCTCATCATTCAACTATAAACTACTACTACAGTTGAAGTTCCAAGATTCCATTTCTTTTTTATTTTTGATACGGAGTCTTGTTGCAACGCCCAGACTGAAGTGCAGTGGCACGATCTCAGCTCACTGCAACCTCTGCTTCCCCGGTTCAAGTGATTCTCCTGCCTCAGCCTCCTGAGTAGCTGGGACTACAGGCGCATGCCACTATGCCCAGCTAATTTTTGTATTTTTAGTAGAGACAGGGTTTCACCATGTTGGCTAGGCTGGTCTCGAACTCCTGACCTCAAGTGATCCGCCTGCCTCAGCCTTCCAAAGTACTGGGATTATAGACGTAAGCCACCAGGCCTGGCACCTAGATTCCATTTGTATCTCTGTTCTTAAGCAAAACTTTTTTCTCCTTAGACCTCAGATTTTCCTGTCCTGGATCCCAGCTGGACTGCTCAAGAAGAAATGGCCCTTTTAGAAGCTGTGATGGACTGTGGCTTTGGAAATTGGTAAGTGCTTGGTGTTAAGAGTTATCCTGCCCTAGTGGGCTCAGAGAAGAAGCTGTTGTTGAAGAGTAAAGGAAGGAGCCTCAGGAAGAGAAAGTATATGTTGCTTTCCTATCAACCCATGATTTAGAGACAAGTTAGTCCCCTCTGTACGTTATTTTTCCAGTGCCGAAATGTGTCACAAGGGTATGGGATGTTTAGTGGTCCATGACTGAGCAGCTTTAAAAGGCCACTTTGGATATGTATCAACAATGGGAAGATTGATTATTCCTTTCTGAATAGTAGGGAAGTTTAGTTTTGTTAGTTATTACTCCCTTCTGATTTTATGAATTTTTGTTGGTTATAGATGCCCTAGTCATTTAAGTGAATCAGACTTTAGCTAGATGGTCATACCTAAGATTCAAGTTTCACAGACTTCCTGATAGCATTCTCTGTTTTTAGCTTTCAAACACCTGCCTTAGTCCAAGACCGGCTGAATTGAATAGCACTCATTGCTGTTGCCTTAGTGGGCAGCACCACTTAATACTACCACTTTTGTTTTTATCTTTTGGGAACACTTTCATATGGATGATTTTATTTTATGAACTAGATAGCAGAGACATTATTGAATATATTTTGTTCACAAATTATCTGAAGCCTAGCGGGTTGAAATGATTTCTTGTGATTACGTAGCTTATTAGTGAGGGACTCTTAATTAGGTCCTCCCTGTCCTGACTTGCTAGTGTATATAACCTTTCTTGGTGTTCATCAGAATAAATTCTGCTGCTTCCCTTATGTCCAGGGACCTGAAGAAGCAGACCTGAATTTAGTTCACATTTTGCTTGTATTCATTCATTCAGTATTTATTAAGCATCATAAAATACGGTGTACAATGAGGAATACCAAAGGAGGTAGAAAAGTAATCACTTGTGAGGAGCTTGCTAGTCATCTTTGGCCTAGTTTTTCATTTTTTGCTTACCATGCTCTCTAAAATAGGCTAATCCTCTCTGTCTGTCCTCCTTCCCTCTTAACAAAGAACATAAAAAAGACATAGCTTCTCTGTCTGCTGTGGGTAAGGCACTAAGTTTGGCAGTGAGTGGACCAGAGCTAAGAATTATGAGATACATCCTGCCTTCAGGAAGCTTATAGTTTAGCAAGGGACTCAAAATATCTGTACAAGTGATTGAAGTACACAAAACAGCACAGTGATGTCTTAGGAGAGGACAAGTGAAGTGCTGTGGAAAAGAGACCTTGAGGAGAGGACTTCCACCTCTACCTCTCCATTACCTTGACTCAAGTCAGGGATTCTTTTTTATTAAGACAGTCTCACTTTATCACCCAGGCTGAAATGCAGTGGTGTGATCACAGTCACTGTAACCCTGAACTCTTGGGCTCAAGGGATCTTCCCTTCTCAGACTCCCAAGTAGTTGGAACAACAGTTGTGCACCACTATACTCAGCTAATTAAATAGCTTAAATAGCTTAGTGACTTAAATTTATTTAAATTAAATAGCTTAGTGACTTAAAATATCAAAAGAGGAAATGATGCTTTTACTATTATGTGGAAATGAGAGTACCACTTTCTTCTGTCTTTTTCCCACAATCCTCTAGGCAGGATGTAGCCAATCAGATGTGCACCAAGACCAAGGAGGAGTGTGAGAAGCACTATATGAAGCATTTCATCAATAACCCTCTGTTTGCATCTACCCTGCTTAACCTGAAACAAGCAGAGGAAGCAAAAACTGCTGACACAGCCATTCCATTTCACTGTAAGTGCTTCGCTACCTTGGTAAAAGACACTTAGCTCATCCTTGGGCCCTGTTCCAGTAGCAGATAAACAGTGATTTGATTAATTCGACAGCTAATGATATCACAGAAGATAGGAGGAGTTATATGGCAGCTATTAAGAGTGAGGATCGACCCAGCGTGGTGGCTCATGCCTGTAATCCCAGCACTTTCGGAGGCTGAGGTGGGTAGATCACTTGAGGCCAGGAGTTCAAGACCAGCCTGGCCAACATGGGGAAACCCTGTCTCAACTAAAAGTGTAAAGATTAGCCGTATGTGGTGGCAGACACCTATAATCCCAGCTAATGGGGAGGCTGAGGTAGGAGAATCACTTGAAGCAGGTAGGCAGAGGTTACAGTGAGCCAGGATCATATCACTGCACCCCAACCTGGGTGACAGAGTGAGACTTCGTCTCTTAAAAAAAAAGAGTCAGGATTAAAATGTGGCAAAGAAGGAACATCCTCTAAGGGTCAGAGTTCTATACGGGACATCAAGGTGCTTGAAGCCAATGTGTAGTTCCACCTACCTCCAGTCCTTTGAACATATCAGTTAATTTCAGTGGTTTCCTTTGTAAAATAAGATGTCAAAAAGGGAAAATCTTTTCTATGCTGTTATAAGTTTTTTTTCAATCCCTTTGGAGAGCTTATGATTATACATACAAGTTGCTCAGAGAATACAGTATTTGACTCATTATTATGAATTGTCCCAGTGTCAAGTCCAAGAAGTGGTTTGTTATTTTTGTTCACTTGGTTGTGTCAGTGACGGCGAACTTTTTAATCTCGTGCCTGTGGGACTAGTGGGTCTCTTAATAAAATATAACCAAAAACATGATGAATTACAAATGACCATCTTTCCTGAATGACTCCCAGGGCACAAGTAATAAGATATGAATGTTTTCCCTTCCCTTTTCTCTTTTCTCGTACTCTCTAGAAACAGTTTTATAGCTGACTAACTTAGAGGCTGGTAATATCTCCTTTTTTTTTTGAGACAGAGTCTTGCTCTGTCTCCCAGGCTGGAGTGCAGTGGCACAACCTCCGCTCACTGCAACCTCCACCTCCAGGGTTCAAGCGATTCTCTTGTCTCAGCCTCCCAAGCAGCTGGTACCACAGGTGCATGCCACCACACCTGGCTGATTTTTTGTATTTTTAGTAGAGATGAGGTTTCGCTATATTGGCCAGGCTGGTCTCAAACTCCTGACCTTAGATGATCTGCCCGCCTCGGCCTCCCAAAGTGCTGGGATTACAGGTGTGAGCCACCGTGCCTGGTTGATACCTCCTATTTGGATAGCACTTTGATGTTAGCACTTGGTTCTCAAATTCATTACACCATTTGTTTCCAAACGGCAATCCAGTGAGATAGGCAGAGCAAGTGCTTTTGGTCTACATTGGAGGAGACCGATGCAGAAAGGTTTGTGCAGGGTTATGGGACTACTGTGTGTTAGAGCTAGGACTTAATTCCAGCTAACTTCCAATTCCGGTGTTTGTTTTTTTCCTGCCTTTGGTGTTTTTTTTTTT